AGAATTAGATTGATCAAATCTCTTCCAATGAAAATCGCGTTCAATCAGCGCAGTGGTTTGGAATGCGTATCAGAAGCGATAAACTCTGCGATGTGACCGACTGCGAAGGTCGTTTTCTTCATGATTAAGATTGCTGGGCTTGAAGTTTTTGGTACATTGCAAAACATTGGTGATGGTTGTTTTTGATTGTTCGTAGCGTAAGTGGTAACGTACATAACTGGCGCGATAAGCAAAAGGTGCGGGTTCGAGTCCCGTCTGGGTTTTTTTCACAACCCAGCATTCTTGTGAGTGCTTTCCCACTGTAACGGCTCCACCTGGGACCGGAGAACTAGGCCAACCGCTGACCCTGTGAATGTCACCATAACCTTCCTTCAGTGCAAGTCAGTTTTCCAAATTTCGTTGAACTTGATCGTGGTCGATCTACCCAGCAGAAGGTTCGTAGGCTGTAGCAAGAATCCGCTCTATATCGCAATCCCCAGTTCAGTAAAAAAACGGCATTACTTAAAACAAACTAGAAAATGGGGACGACACTTCATATTGGTGACTTGCAGCGGTATGCCCTAATCAATTTTTTCGGACCTTCTGACTATCTACGCATAACTAGCAACGACAAATCAGTTACTTCCAGGTTGAGTAAAACCTTGTCAATAGCACTGTGTATGCGTGCTTCGTTTTCAAGGCTATCGCTTTCCTTACAAAAACTTTTTGCACAACTCCCTGAAGCCTATCTATAGCAAATCTGGGCCAAGTGTATTCTCCATATCTTAGCCTGCTTGCGCTCTTTTCAGGTCTATTTTTGCTGGAAAAACAAAACCATGCAAACTTGCTCATTGAGTGTGCTGTATTCATGGTCTTGAAAAAGGTAAAAGAAAATGTTTCGAACAAACTAATAAACAGAACAAGGAGAGCCCTTCAAAATGCTGGTCGAAAAGGTGGGAGCTTGCTTGGAACCAAAACAAAATGGGGTACTTAAAAATGAGGTGTCAAAAAAAAACGATAGCACTTTTCCAAGTTCTAGCAGTTTTCACCAGTAGTGTGTTTGTTAGGAAAAGATTGCGTCGTAATGACCTAATGATAATGATGGATGCTTTTTGTCAGGGATAAAAATCTTCTATGATTGATAAAGATAAAACAACACTTGAACTGAATTGAAAGACAGAATTTTCGAAAAATCGGTGCAAAAAAGTTGAATTTACCTGCTCGAGAACCTTCGCAACGGCCTGCTGTCGGGTCATTCTCTTCCTTGCTTATCAGGTAAGCTGCACAGAACGCTGGAGCTCTGCAAAATGAATTTTTATGAGCAGATCATAAGCAGATATTATTTCATGCACGAACTGTTTGGTATTTCACCTGTTTCTACCCTTCGCACTGCAGACAAGCACTGATTTTCCAGCTTTTCGTCCTCGCTCCACAAGATCGCAAAACTGATCGAATAGCACTGTCATGTTGATCTTCGACTAGAAAGAATAATAATGTTATTGCTCGTTGAAGAATACTGTGGCTGGATACCGATTTTCTTCTGCCGACGTCACTTTCCAGACGTGAAGGTAAAGATCTGCAACAGGAAAATCTTATAAGTAGGGCGGAAGTGGTGTAGTGGCAAGTGGCGCGCTTACCACGCGAGCGGTCCGGGGATCAAATCCTGGGTCGTGAGTCGCCCGGGCCAACCAAGCCTTCCATCCCTCCGGGGTCGGTTAATTGGTACCAGACTTGTCTGGGAGGATAAAAACACTGACTTGTACATCGGCTGGCCCCGCAAGTCATTGTATAGGCCACATCGCATTCAAACGCCACTACGAATGTACAAATGGAAGTAGAATGCGTGCCATCCCAAAAAGGGATTGATCAACGGCAAATGCTTTATCCTTTATCCTTTATCCTTTACTGGTTTCCTTTGTGTGGTAGTGTAAGACCGTGGACAAAGTTTCGAGAATATAATTTTCCGGAGAGAGACAGCAACAAAAAAAAAACTCAAATTCTGGACCACTACTGGCTCACCGGAAAGTCGCAGCCACAAAGGGCTCACTAACGTGGTATATTGTGAATTCGACCACATGTTAGGCTCTGTAAAAATCTGACTTGAAGCTCGTTTATCTTTATGCGCTTAATACATTTACACGCGTTAGCTCCACACCGCCAACAGGGTGAAAAATGTTAATTCAGGAATTCAAATTGTTTCGTCAGGACGCTAATAATAGCCTGCTAAGCGAGAGGTGAGGGTTCGAATTCTGCCTAGGACAAAAGTTTTGTTAATGGCCCAATACTATTACTCGAAACACTCGCAAAGCGGACGAAACAGTTTGCAAAGGCAGCAAAAAATAGCTGTG